GCACGGTCAAGCGCCAGTGCCCCAGGACGGGAACGGCGAAGACCATCCGCAAGGGGCGAAGTGGGGCGGGCGAAGGCGCGGGCGGCAAGACCAGCCCAGACGCCCGTCGCGGAGGGTAGGCGGCCGGCAGGCCGAGGAAGCGCGCGTGGGGGGGGGCCGCAAGGCACGACACGGGGGAGGCCCCGAGGGCGGGCACCGATCAGGTGCAGGCGCGGAGAAGATGGGCCCCCCTGCCTGGGTAGTGGACAGGGTGGGCCCGCCGAGGGGGAGAGCCGCGGCCGCAGCGGTGGGCTTGCGCTCCCCGAGGCCTGGCAGGGGCGGAGGGGCACGGGCACCCACAACCCCAGGCCGGGACGCAGGTCATGGGGAAAGGAAAGGAAAGGCCCGCGGCGCGCCCCGGCCGCGGCGGGCAGGGCGGCGAAACAAAGGGGCAGCCCACAGAAGGGTGGGGGAGCCCGGAGCCGACGCTGGGGTGAACCAGCCGGCCGGCTGGCGTGCGGCGAGGAGGCTGCCAGGGGGCGAGGGGGTGCGGCGCACGGTGCGCGCGGCCCCTCGGCCTGGCCAAAAAAAGGCGGGGGAGCCGCGCCCAGGCCCAGGGTGGGCAAAGGACAGAGCGGAGCGCCCAGCTGGGGGCAGGGACGCGGGAGCGGCGGGCGGCAAGACCAGGCCCCGGCCCCCCCGCAGCCCCCCGCAGCGACGGCGTGCAGCCAGGCGCCAGGGCGGCGCGCAGAGAAGGGAGGGGCGGCACGCACGGCTCGGGTGAGCGAGGCAAGCCAAGGGGGAGAGGGCCAGGGCCGCCGCCCGCGGGGGGGAGGGCCAGGGCCGCCGCACATATACATCCGCCGGCCCCCTTGTGGGGCCACCAGGCTGTAGGCGCGTGATTCGCAGTTTCCTGTACCAGTCGTAGGTTGTAGTTTCCAGTGTTACAGTTCTGCTTCTTGCTGGTTACTGTAACTAGTTGACTTCTTGCTGGTTACTGTAACTAGTTGATTGACCGCGCGAGGGGGGGGGAGGCCCAAACAGGATTTTTAGCCTCACCTGGGCGCGTTGTCTGAATTGCTGGGGGGGCTCGAAATCGACACCCCTCACGCAGACCCGGGGTCAGGGTCCAAAAACACAAGGGATTTGCCACATTTCTGAAATCGGTGCCACCCCTCACGCAGATCCGCGGGGTCAGGGTCCAAAAACACAGGGGATTTGCCACATTTCTGAAATTCGGTGCCACCCCTCACGCAGATCCGCGGGGTCAGGGTCCAAAAACACATGGGATTTGCCACATTTCTGAAATTCGGTGCCACCCCTCACGCAGATCCGCGGGGTCAGGGTCCAAAAACACAGGGATTTGCCACATTTCTGAAATTCGGTGCCACCCCTCACGCAGATCCGCGGGGTCAGGGTCCAAAAACACAGGGGATTTGCCACATTTCTGAAATTCGGTGCCACCCCTCACGCAGATCCGCGGGGTCAGGGTCCAAAAACACAGGGATTTGCCACATTTCTGAAATTCGGTGCCACCCCTCACGCAGATCCGCGGGGTCAGGGTCCAAAAACACAGGGATTTGCCACATTTCTGAAATTCGGTGCCACCCCTCACGCAGATCCGCGGGGTCAGGGTCCAAAAACACAGGGGATTTGCCACATTTCTGAAATTCGGTGCCACCCCTCACGCAGATCCGCGGGGTCAGGGTCCAAAAACACAGGGGATTTGCCACATTTCTGAAATTCGAACCCATCACGCACATCCATCGCAAGGCGTGGTAACCCAAACTGCGAGAACTCCCTCGGCCCTTTAATCGCAAGGTGTGGTAACCAAGCCCTTAAACCATACACGTCTTACCAATCGCCAGGTGTGGTAACCCCTCTTGTGATCAGTTGGTTTTGCTGATTGCGACTCGGCTTCGCATGAAGTTTCGATACTGCTTCACGACAGCGCCAAGGCCTCATGACTTAGCTCTTCCATGGCCCATTCTCCGAGAGAGGGGGCCGGCGGCAGGGGACGAAGCCCTTACGGATATGTGTATATATACATACATACATATACAAATACAAATACATAAACATATGCATACATGCATGCATGCCTACATATACATATACATATACATGTACATATACATATACATATACATACACTACGTACATTTACATATACATATACCTATTCATGTACATATACACATACATATACATATACCTATACATATACAAATACCTATACATAACCATATACATATACATATGCATCTGCCTATATGTGTACATGTACAAATACATATACATATACATATACATATACATATACATATACATATACATATACATAAACAAATACATATACATATACATATATATATATATCGACATATGCAGATACATGTACATATACCTATACATATACATTTACGTATACACATACATATGCAAATACATTATACCTATACATATACCTATACACATACATATACATATACATATACATATGCAAATGCATATGCAAATACATATACATATACATATACATATACATATACACATACATATACATCTACATATACATATACATATGCATATACAAATACATATACATATGCATATGCAAATACATATGCACATACATATGCATGCGCATATACATATAAAGTTACATATACATATACATGTATACATATACAAAGACATAGACATTGGCATATACATATACAAATACATATACCTATACATATGCAATACACATACAGATATTTATATACACAAATACATATACATATACATATGCATGCGCCTATACATATACATACGCATAAACACATACATATGCATAAACAGATACATATACATATACATGTTCATATACATATGCATATACATGTGCATACCTATATGCATATACACATACAAATACATATACATATACATATATATATACATCCACACATTCATATACGTATACATATGCATATACATATACATATACATATACACATACATATACATATGTATACGCATACGCATACATACTTACATACATACATGCATGCATGCATGCATACATGCATGCATACATACATACATGCATACATATATATATATATACATATACATATATATATATATGTATACATACACACAGACCTGCAATGAGCGCGAGCGCGCGCGGGGGCACCCCGCCCCATTCTCCCCCCCTGATCCTCCCTCATCATTTTTAACACTGAGCGTGCTATAATCGTAAGGTTGTAGCGTCTGCCTCCCTACTGCTCCTCCTCCTCCTCCTCCACCTCCTCGCCATCAGGCTCAATCCTCTCCTCCTCCTTCTCCTCCTCCTCCTCCTCGTGCCGTCGGCCTTGTTCGACGAGTATGAAGCGAGTGTTCGGGCGTCTCTTTGGCAGCAGGCATCCGAGCATTTTGAAGGATCTGGCATGGAGCAAGGTATTTGTAATTTCTCGTATCGGCGGCTTCTGCGACACCTGCAGCAAGCACCTGAAGGACGTAGACGGGCAGGTCTTCTCCTGCCGGTGGCTGTTGGCGCGTCGTGGCCGAGGGCACCCCGACAGACACGGACCAAGCAGGTGGTACCGGAGACCTGCGTGCGGTGTTGCAAGTACAGGGAGACGGCTCTACATCGCGTGTGGGGTTGTGATGGCCACGCAGCAGGACACCCAGTCTACGCAATGACAGATCATCTTGTCGGCAAAGCATTGGCACCGGGTGAAGCAGAAGCATGTTTTTGGACGCGTGGGCTGATACCTGCGCCATGGCTTGCAGTTGAAGCACCTCCTGCTGAGGCCGCCTGGCTGACCACCAGTATCGGCTGTCCGCTCTTTGGCTTTGGCGATGCGAGCGGCGGAGCTGAGTCGGCGCATCCCGTCCTTCGGCGTGTTGGGGTCGGTTTTGCAGTGTTTTCGGACCTCACCCCCAACTCCGACATGTCCTGTGGGCTATGGGGTGCGCTGCCAGGTAGCCGACAGGCTGTGGCGCGTGGTGAACTGCAGGCCCTACTTTTGTTTCTTGAAGGCAGTGATGGGCATGTGGTTTTCGTGACGGACAACGGAGCTGTATCCACAGGTTGGCATTCCTTCAGATACCAGTCACCTGAGGGACCCGACGCCGACCTGTGGTGGCAGATCAACAGTGTGCTTACGAGGAGAACCTCGCTGGCATTTGCAGTCTTGCTTGTCCATCCGCACCAGGACGCTGTGGCCCAGGGGGAGCGCACGGCACCAGAGCTCCTGATCATGGGCAGCTCCGTGGCCGACACGCTGGCGGGAGCAGGGGCTGAGATGGCTCGCCTTCCGCAAGCCACGAGAGCAAGGCATCATCAAGTCGAGCACACGCCACACCTCTCGCGCTTGCGGATCCTTCAGAGCCAGCTCGGGGCGATGAGGGCTGAGGAAAACGAGCGAGCTCAGTCGGGGAGTGGACGTCGCGAGAAGAAGGCTCCCGTCGTTTGCCCGCCTGCCCCCGCTGCTTGTGCTCTGTTTCGTTCTCAGCACTCCGTTAGCCCTCAGGATCCTCGCAGGTGTGAAAGATGTAAGCGGTCGACCACGAAGGCTAAACAAACCGCTTGGCTTAATACAACGTGTTTCGACCTAGTCAATTTGAATGGTTCAGTTTTCGAACCTCCCCCTGGGCAGCAAGTACACATATAGGAGGAGGCCTTCCACACATGAGCCATCAATTAAAATATCACGCGGGGCTGGAGGTCTTGTTTTGCACTGCCTGTGGGTACTACGCAGCTCAGCAGCTCGTTAACTTAGCCCAGGAGTGCCCAGACAGAATCGAAGGCAATCGTGTCGAGCACCTAGATAGGATCTCTCGGAACCTTTGGCCAAAGGCCTACAGCAAAGCTGAGCAAGCCAGGAAGGTCAAGGTCTCTTGAGTAGGTGTGTTCTCGACCTAGTCGTTATATCCAGAACTCCAGAACTCCTCCTCCTCCTCCTCCTCCTCCTCTTCCTCCTCCTCCTCCCCCCCCCTGGCTCCCCCCTTGGGATCTTGCCGAGCACCGAGGTGATCACAGCGAAACTGTACCCGTGCTCCTTCGTGTCCTGATTCATTTTGATGTCGCACCGGGTCTGGGCCTCAGAGAGAAGTCCAGACTGGGAGAGAGGAGGAGAAGGAGGAGGAGGAGGAGGAGGAGGAGGGAAGACCGGGAGGAGAGAAGGGCGTGCACAGAAGACAATAGGATTGGCTACGCTGCCAGATGCGTCCCCTCCTCCTCCTCCTCTTCCTCCTCCTTCTCCTCCTCCTCCTTCTCTTCCTCCTCCTCCTCCTCATCCTCCTCCTTCTCCTCCTGATCATCATCATCGCCAACAACAACAACAACAACAACAACAACAACAACAACAACAACAACAACAACAACCACAACCACTACAACAACAACAACAACAACAACAACAACAACAACAACAACAACAACAACTGTAGCAGCAGCAGCAACAACAAAAAAAACAACAACATCACCAACAACAACAACAACAACAACAACCACAACCACAACCACAACCACAACCACAACAACAGCAACAACAGCAACAACAGCAACAGCAACAGCAACAACAACGGCAACGACAACGACAACTATAACAACAATACTACTAATAACAACAGCAACAGAAACAACAGCGGCAACGGCAACAGCAACAACAACCACAACAACATCAGCAGCATCATCAGCAGCATCATCAGCATCATCATCAGCAGCAGCATCATCACCATCACCACGCCATCATCATCCAAAGAGGGCCCATCCCAAGCGATCCCACAATTTGTTCCCCGACCTCTCCGGCAACACGCAGTCCATAAGCATCACCACACTGACGCTCAACATTCCGCCACACAGGCGCATCCAGAAAGCAGGGGGCGACTGTGATTCGCCGCAGTCGTCTTGGATAATATGTTGAATGAGAGCTCGTTTCTCTGGACATGTTGGCCAAGCATCTCGTTTGAAAAATTGGCCTGGTGGCGAGGCGTCCGAGGTAGCGGGGAATGCTTTACTTATCCACACTATCCGCGGCCTGCATCTCGTTCACCGAAGCACCCATCTTCCCCAAGATCTTCCCGACGCACTGCTGAGGCACCTTCTGTTGCGGGCTCTCCCGACGAGCCCAGCGGAGCAGTAAAGGAGCAGAAGCGTGACCACTGAGGAGAATGACTAGCTCAGCACGAATAGGGCCCCACGGATGTGGAGGAGGATCACGGCGGCGACGAACACGAGGGTGAGTAGGGAGATGCTGCCCGAAGAAGATCGGTGCGCTGAACAGACACATGTGTGATATTCTTGCCAAACAAGATCCCACCCCACCCACCCCTGCGTGCTATGAACCGGCCCCTAAAGGAGCCACCTCCATACGAAACGCTGATGCAAAACAAATGGGAGTGCTGTTTACAGCTTCGAAGAAAGTGACTGCCCTGCACGAACCATGTCGAGGTTGAGGGGATGCCTTTACAAGGAACTGTCAGACTGGAGCGTCTACGCGTCGAAACGTGACTGCATGACGGCGCAGCTGAATGCAGCTGTTCTGTGTTTGCTTCAGACGATCGCCCGTCATCATGATCGGCCACCACAACCCATGACACCGTGACGAACGCAGAACGATCCACTACCAATACACTTCGGTGATAGCAGAATGCGCCTCACGCGAAATATCCTTCCAAGCAAAATCGTAAGAGGGAGGAATACGAAATAACTGCGATCGCCTATGACTGTGAGGGTTGACTTGAAAAACGGCGATCGTCGAAACGCAGACTGCGACCGTGCAACCATCCTGGCATTTCTCGTGCGGCTCCTCTCTCCATTCTTGCGCGCTTCGGCTGCACCCCAGGGCTCGCTGGCCGGCGCCGTGGGCTGTCGCTCGACGTTCGCGCAGAGAGAGGGGGAAGGGAGGAGGACCCCTCCGGGCGGGCAGCAGCCAGCCGCGGCGACGCAGGCGGGCACCTTGACGTTCCGCTGCCCGGGGCCGATGCGGGGCATCGGCGGCGCCTCTGGGGCCTGGAACTGGTCCCTGACGGGAGGACACCCACTGCCCTCAGCTGCACGCGGAGTCTCCCTGGGATTCGGGGATTGACAGACCTCCCTTTAGTAAAACGTGGTTTAGTGAAAACGACCTGAGGCCCAAACCTGGCGGGCGCAAGCCTGGAAAATAACGGCCGCGGCGCCCTGTCGAGAACCGAAAACGGACAATTCACTAATCGACGGGTCACTGTTGGGGGTTCTGTCCACCCCCGATCCCTGGGCAAGAGTGACCTTTGGTGCGCGGCGGGCCCCAGCGGGCCCGCACCGACAGGTCACTCCGGCGAAGGGCCACTCCTGCGAGGAAACCAGCAGGTGCTGACACAGATGCTCCGCAAGCCTCTCCCGGAGGTGCGCTCTGACCAAGGCCTCGAGGCGAATCCAGCCGTGGCGACGAGGGCCTCCCGGGAGGCCCGACAGGGGGCAAACGAGGCAAGGGTAGCGTTAGGTCGGGCACGTCCTCTTACAGGCGGATTTCCAACGAGAAATCAAAATTGGTCAAAAAGATTCAAACAAATCCCTCTCACACACACACACACACACACCAAAAAAAACAAACAAACAAACAAAAAACGTCCCCAGAATATGTCTGACTGTTTTTGAACATTCCTCCTGCAGGGGGACACGTCAGACCTAAGGGCAGCGGTAATTATCGGTACCAGCTCCTCCCTGGGCCCAGGGC